CAGAGTTGTTTTCCTTCTGTGAGGGGTTCCATTCTTGGACGAGAAAAGCTTGATTCCAAGGAGAGAGCCCCTTTTTTAGTCGGGCCAGTCTAGTGAAACCAACAAGGAACTAGTCGAGGGGACTCTGACCGTGGTGACATTTTCACCTGGTGGGCCACCCAAAGAAACCGTTTTTGTTTGTCTTTTTTTGTTTTGTTTTAGGGCTCACATGTCCAACCTATGATCACGCGAGAAAGGATTCGTCACAAAAAGTCGCATTTCCGAAAAAGATGATGCTTACAACTACCCAAGACCCTACGAGAAGGAACCCTGAAAAGCCCAAGCTCTCTTATGAAGAAAAGTCACAAACAGGGTGCGAAGCATGAACCACTCCTGCCCTAGCGGACGCCGCTTTTCAGGAGCTAAAGACGCAAAAGCACTTAGCCATCCACGTAATGAAGAGGTGCGCGGAATCGGCGCTGAGCGGCCTGGTTTCTATAACCCCTTGAAACCGCAAAATATCTATTGTATTTGGGGTAGAAACCTCACCCATGGTCTTAGAGCCAGTCGATGGTGCAGAGGCAGGGTTCGGCGTGTGCGAAAAGAGTTTGTAAGCCACAAACACAATTGACAAAACACCGAAGGGCCACCAATTCAATTCGGTAGTACGACTCACCAAGTTTTATTCAAGCCATGGGATGGAACCCTAACTTTCCCCCAATTTGAGCCGTGGCTCAGATGTGCGTTCATGAGGGTACTCTTTGCGGAGTTTTCTTTCCAAGAAACCATTGGGGGAGCCTTGTTTCCCTGGCTCGCGTGTCCACGACACCCCTCGTGCCCCTTGTCAGGTTTGGAAAGCCAATTCCTCCGTTGCAGGGCGGGCCTGAGGCGGATCTTGCGGAATGAGTTTTGCGCTCGGCCGTCTTCTTTTTTCGGAGCCCGTTTACTGCCACCCTTTCCCGTAAACAGGGTTTGGTGCACTGACGTCCTTTTCAAAAGGAAAGTCGTCAAGTAGTCTTCCAAAACCCTCTCCGCTGATCTTTGGCCTTCAACTTCTCGGTACCATGGGTGTTTTCCCACCCTTTCATTTTTGCGACAGAGTTTTGGTCCATTGGTCAGCGGAGTCTGGACGTTTCTTTCTTTGGAAGGGACACACACACACACACCCGGGGGGGGGTTCGGAACTCGAAGACAAGCCAGCGCCGAAGTGGGGCCAACTCATTCGAGCTCCGAAGTGATTGACTCGGCAGGTCATGAAGCATTTCGAGGATCGACGGTTTTTTCAGGGTGTATGTGTCCACGGCAACCCAATTGGTGCTTTGATTGATTTGCTGCAGATTCTGAGTTGCCTCTTTTCAGCTTTTTGATTGCTCCATCTGCATCCCGGTTTAAGTCTTTGCAGAGGCGGGCGTGAAGGCTCATGCGCAGGACGGGGTCCCCGGCCCCGGTTCGCTTCTCCTGCAGTTTCCTTGTGCCCGGATGACCTGGCGAATGGACAAAGTGACTGGAAGAAGAGGTGTTTGCTAGTCTACCTTTGTGAACTGCCAAAAGAATCCGGGATTAGGGGGAGGCAGAGACAATGGTAGAGGCAGAGGCAGAGGCAGAGGCAGAGGCAGAGGCAGAGACAGAGGCAGAGGCAGAGGCAGAGACAGAGACAGAAGCAGAGACAGAAGCAGAGACAGCAGAGACAGAGACATAGACAGACACGCACTCATATATACACACAAAAGAAGCACAGCCACGGCCACAAACATCAACACAAACAAACCACCAGCACAACCACAAGCACAACCAGAAACACAAGCACAAGCACAAGCACAAACACAAGCACAACCGCAAACACAAACACAAGCACAACCGCAAACACAAACAGAAGCACAAGCAGCAGCACCAGCACAGACACAAACAGACACATGCACGGGTAGTTAAACCTCCAACCATCGCGAGAGTGTGCATTGTTTCAGGGAAGCCCCAAAAATGGATTTCGGTGTTCCTTTCGGTTTCCTTTTATTACAACCCCACAAAGCAGGGGGGGGGGGGGGTGAGGGGGGGGTTCTCTGAGAAGAGGGCATGACCCCCCAAAAGATGGATTTCGGCGTTTGGTTGCCTCGTAAAACCGCACAATTCCTTTTGGTTTCCTCTTGAAACCACACACAAAGCGGGGGTTCTTTCAGAAGAGGGTGTTCAGGGAACCCCAAAAATACATTTTGTTGTTCCTTTCCTTTTGGTTTCCTTCTACAACACAAAAAGCGGGGGGTGCCATGGGCCGTCCTCGCGCCGAGGAGTCGCGGCGGAGCGACGTCGAGGCGCTGCTGCAGCAGCTGAACGGCGTCACCGACGAGGAGCAGCCGCCGAAAAACGCCCCGACAGCTGGGCCTGGAAGGGGCGTGGCCTCGTTTTTTAGGAGTTGGTACCCGTCCTTACCCGGTTCTTTCTGGGTTTTGTTTATAGGGAAACCAAAGGGAAAGCCGAGTCTTTTCTTTTTCTGGAGTTGGTACCCGGTCTTTTTTGGTTTGGTTTATAGGGAAACCAAAGGGGAAGCCGAAATCCGGTTTGGGGGTGCCAGATTTTAACAATCGCGATGTTTACCCAAAGGGACCTTGTAGATCTTTTGAGGGAACCCTCTCCAAAGAATGACAAAGAGAACTGAAGGTGTGGGTTCTCACAAAGGGAAGCCGACCAGAAGGTTTGGGAGTCAAGCCATAACAGGGAAGCTCCGAACAACTATGGGAACCTGCACAAAGCCTGTCTTCAAGGCTCTTTACGAAAGGAACGCCGAACATTCAAGAAAATCCCCCAAAAGAGAAACTCATGGGCTGTTCCCAAGTCTTGAAGGAAGATCTTGCCTTTTTCTTTTTTATAAATATATATATATATATATTTATATATATATATGTATATATAAGGGGACTTGGAGCATGTAGGGTCTGGATGGTCCCCTCCCGCTCGCATTTGGGGGCTCGCATTGGAGCTCATGGCCTAACCTCGGTCCTTGAAAAATTGACCCAGAAGGAAACAGGTACTTGCAGGGAGTAGCGCCCCTGATAGTTCCTGAATCAGATATTCCTATGCGGTTGGTTTTTCACGCTCTAGTCTAGTGGACGGGTGGCAGGGCATTAGGTTTCCTGAGACCAATTCAAAGCCGTGGCCAAAGGAAAGGGTGAAGTGAAGGCTTGTCTGGATCCATGAACCCTCCAATGGATGGTTTCCATGACTTGCCGTGTGAGCTTTGAACCGGGTGTCTGCCATTCTTGGGGAAGGGCTGCTTTCTGTTCGACCCACAGAGGACCCAAACACGCAGTTGGACGCGGAAGACAAAAAGGCTCCTACATGACCTTCCCTCCTTGTAAAACAAACCTTCCCTTGGACATTGAGAGTGGTCAACCCCGCGAGGTGCACTAAATTGCTTGTGCTCAGGGGAACAACAACCCTCGTTTTGGGAATTGAGCTATGTAACTGCCGAAGCTGAGGGAGAAGGTAAGGGGCAATGTTGGATCAGCCATATACTGGTTCCCCTTCAAGGAATACAGGCGGGTGTTGAAATGGTTTGGTGGTTATTACGGTTTAAACAGAGTAAAAACCATCAAACCAAGCCCAAGGTGATTAGGGTTACCCCTAATCCAAGCAACCATCCCAATCATGGAAGTAGACATCTGGTAGTCTGGAAAGAATCTCCTTTCCATTGGCAGGGAGTTCATTCAACTCGGGCCTTTTGTTTTTTTTTTTTTTTTTGCGCTTTTTTTTTCTCCCCCCGGTGGAATCGAAAAACATCCTTCGATCCAAGCCGCGAGGAGCTGGCCGGCTTGATTTGCGTGGCCTTGGAGCAGCGGCCCCACCTGCGCCACGTGGTGCGCGCCTCGGGGCCTCGGGAAACCGAGAGGCCCAAACGTTGACCCCCCTGTCCGACTAAGCTGAGCAGGGCCTCAGGACATGTCTGTGGCTGAGGTGGGGTCATTTGTTGCTCATGCCAAGATTCTTTCTGGCTCCCCTTGTATTGCTGGTGTATTATCTGCACACCCGCCCGAAGGTGCCAACTTGAGTTGAGGTGGATTGATCACCTTTCGGAACGTTTGGCGAGAAATGATTCTCTCTTGGGGTGATGCTTCAAGGTGAACCAAAGGGGGAGCCTGCTAAAACCTCATAGATTCCACGAACTTTCGTGTCATTTCATTCATTCATTCATTCATTCATTCATTCATTCATTCATTCATTCATTCATTCATTCATTCATTCATTCATTCATTCATTCATTCATTCATTCATTCATTCATTCATTCATTCATTCATTCATTCATTCATTCATTCATTCATTCATTCATTCATTCATTCATTCATTCATTCATTCATTCATTCATTCATTCATTCATTCATTCATTCATTCATTCATTCATTCATTCATTCATTCATTCATTCATTCATTCATTCATTCATTCAGTCATCAGTCAGTCAGTCAGTCAGTCAGTCATTCAGTCATTCAGTCATTCAGTCATTCAGTCATTCAGTCATTCAGTCATTCAGTCATTCAGTCATTCAGTCATTCAGTCATTCAGTCATTCAGTCATTCAGTCATTCAGTCATTCAGTCATTCAGTCATTCAGTTTCATTCAGTTCATTCAGTCATTCAGTCATTCAGTCATTCAGTTCATTCATTCATTTGTTCATTCATTCATTCATTCATCCATTCAGTCATCATTCATTCATTCATTTCAGTCATTCAGTCAGTCATTCATTCATTCATCATCATCATTCATTTCAGTTCATTTCAGTCATTCAGTCATTCAGTGTCATTCAGTCATTCATTCAGTCATTCAGTCATTCAGTCATTCAGTCATTCAGTCATTCAGTCATTCAGTCATTCAGTCATTCAGTCATCATCATCATCATTCAGTCATTCAGTCATCATTCATTATTCATTCATTCATTCATTCATTCATTCATTCATTCATTCATTCATTCATTCATTCATTCATTCAGTCATGCAGTCATTCAGTCATTCAGTCATTCAGTCATTCAGTCATTCAGTCATTCAGTCATTCAGTCGTTCAGTCGTTCAGTCATTCAGTCGTTCAGTCATTCAGTCATTCAGTCATTCAGCCATTCAGTCATTCAGTCATTCAGTCATTCAGTCATTCAGTCATTCAGTCATTCAGTCATTCAGTCATTCAGTCATTCAGTCATTCAGTCATTGAGTCATTCAGTCATTCAGTCATTCAGTCATTCAGTCATTCAGTCATTCAGTCATTCAGTCATTCAGTCATTCAGTCATTCAGTCATTCAGTCATCATTCAGTCATTCAGTCATTCAGTCATTCAGTCATCATCAGTCATTCAGTCATTCAGTCATTCAGTCATTCAGTCATTCAGTCATTCAGTCATTCAGTCATTCAGTCATTCAGTCATTCAGTCATTCAGTCATTCAGTCATTCAGTCATTCAGTCATTCAGTCGTTCAGTCGTTCAGTCATTCAGTCGTTCAGTTGTCTAGTCGTTCAGTCGTTCAATAAATTCAGTCATTCAGTCATTGAGTCATGCATTAATTCATTCATGCAGTCATGCAGTCATGCAGTCATTCAGTCATTCAGTCATTCAGTCAGTCATGCATTCATGCATTCAGTCATTCATGCATTCAGTCATTCATGCATGCATTCATGCATTCATTCCTTTCCTTTCCTTCCATTCCCTTCCAAGAGCAATGCTTCCACCACGAACTCTGCATGCCGAGCTCCTGAGTACTGCGCCTGCCGCGAAAACCAAAATGCGACCGCCCAAAGTGCTGCGCCTGCCACCAGCTTCGAACGCACCGTGAGCTTGCCACCAACTCAGAATCGCCCAACGGGCTGCACCTGTTACAAAATCTGACCTTGTCACGTTTGCAACACGCCTCAACCATTAGCACACAAAAGGAGCCGATTGTCGACAGGGCCAGCGAAAACGACCGCGCAAGCTTGCCAGCCAAGCAAGACGCAGCAAACCGCAATGTCATGGCAATGCGAACATGCGACCCTCCAGAACGCTCCGCAGGGAAACGGCATGCAGCGTTGCAAAAGCCACAATTCAAGCACAGGCGCGCCGAATCGTCGCGCCGAATCGTCGCGTGCGGCACGGGAACTTTTACACACGGACGCTTGCAAGGTTTCTGACCGCTTGCGACCGCTTGCGGTCGCATCGACCAGTCTCACCAACACGTCCCCACGCCCAGCCCCGTGTCACAACCAGAACCCTTCGCTGCGCATTCAAGACAAAGAAGTTTGTCTTTGAGCAGCCCAAGACGCCCAATGCCCCCCAGAAAGACTTCGCCCGTACCCGCGGGGCAAAGCACGCAGGTACTCGGCCGCTGAATTGGAGATCCCAATCAGGTGGCGGTATTTGATGGGAAAAACACCCCGATTGAAATACATCGCTCAGTGCGAGAGAAAAAGGCGCGCGGGTTCAATGCCACTCCACATGCGTTGAAGGCACATGTGAGGCATGGCGTTTCCAAAGTCCCCTTGATGTGTGCCGAATTCAGCCGCGCTGGCACCCATTCTGATGGAATCTGACACATGCCTAGTCGCAGATAATGCGCTTGTTTTGACCACAAATGCGTCGCACAGGTGTTGGCTTGCATTGCTCTTTCGGCTCCATGAGACACAAGTTGGGGCGCGGCTGGGTCGCTGGGTGCTCGTCGCGTCGCGCTCAGCGCTGAGAGGCTTCTGGGGTTGCAATGTTTACCCCGCAGTCCCATGCAAACTAGCGGAAGGCTTCCCAATAGTGGCCCTCGAAGGAGGTCCGTCTAAAAATGGATAGTTTTGCGGTTCCGATTGAATTTGGGAGCAACGGCATCGGACCCCGTTTTTTTTTTTATGGCGCGGAATGCTGGTCTGATTCTCGGCAAAAGGACAGTGTCTTTTCTTGGAAGACGTTTTGCTGGGGACCCTGCAAGTCATGTGCAGTTTGCTTCTGAGACGAGTGAGTAGCTGAGGCGCGCCCCTGTGAGCCCGTGATCCTGTTGTGCTAGGGATGGCGCTACGCCGGCTTGTCTTCACATGACCAGATGGGTATGTGTCAAAATAGGGGAGGTACGTCTTTCCTTTCGTTTCCCTGTAAACCAAGCACCCTCAAAAAAGCACCCACCCAGGCCCTAGCCCCAAACATCGCCAGTTGCTGGCGATTAGTTTTTCAGCACCTGTGACCATTTTTGGGCATCCCTGGATCCAAGCAGTGGCTATCTGGGTTCCTGGAGTTCCCTTGCCGCCAGCTTTCAGGGTGTCCGCTCGGCCCATGTCTGGCAACGAATGGGCTCGCGAAACAGAACTGGGCGGCACAAACAGCCGTCGGGGGAAAGGGCTGTGGTCGTTCTGGCCTTCAAGAAGCGCAAGTCTTGTCTGGCCACAGTAAGCGCCGTCAAACCAAACGCACAAAAAGAGGAAGCCGCAGTTCTCGTGTTTTGCCCCTCAAAAAAACAGAGAGCAACGCCTGTGAGCCGAAGCTTTCTTTTTCCTTCCTCCCAAAACGGGTCCCCCCTTCAAAAGCCAAAACCCAAGACTCCCCCGAGCCAACCAAAGGCGTCTCTCAGATCTTCGGGACCCGCCAGGTCCTCGGCGGTGGCCGACAGCTTTACCACCCGCGAGGATGCCAAGAAGCAGAAGGCGCTGCAGGAGGCGCCGAATCGAATCGCCGCGTCGTATCGCCTCGCGTCGCGTCGCGTCGCGTGGCGACCCAAGCGGGTGGTCGAGGTGTGAGCTTCGAGGTTTCCGGCCGAGGGGTCCGATAGGACCATGGGACGATCATGGGTTGGAGAACTAAAGAAGATGATGTGGCCGGAAAGGGGACAAGTGAGCCACAATCAAAACCTGGGTAGATGAAGGTTAGTAAGGGACAATCCCAACCACAAATAGCTGCGGCCGCCTTCTTGATTCTTTACATGGTTCTGGGTGGACCATTTTAGTACCAGGTTTTGATTATGACTCAAGTGTCCCATGGTCATTTCGGAGACCAGGAAGGTGGATCAAACTTCAGAGGCGTTCCTTTCTGACCGGGGCTTTGTGCCTGTGCCTGTTTCGGGCTGACATCATTTGACACCAACAAAAAGCGCGTTATTGGAGGTGTGAAGATCCCTGGTTGAGGAAACGCGGTCCACATTTCGAATGATTTGTCTTGACATTCCAAACGGCTGGAATCCTCGAGGCGGACTGGAAACCTCTTTAAAAATCACAGGGGGATAAATTGCAAGAGGCGGAACAACTCTACTGCCCAAAAAGAAAAGAATCAACAAAGCAACAGCAAACAAAAGACGAAACAAAAACAAAAGCCCAAACCTCTACTGCCTAAGAAAAAGGAAACAACAAAAAGAAACAAACAAAAAGCACAAACCGAAACAACAACCCAACTCCGCGCGTGGCTTTTCGCCACATTTTGTTTTCTTCCGTCGTCCCTGCGTTACGGCAGGCGCGGGCGGCGGGCACAGCTGCCCCGGAGACGGATGAGCACACGGGGAAGATGATCAATCCCCACAACCCCGAGTTCATCACCAGGGCCTGGCCCTCGGGGTCTCTGGGATCTCGGATGGATGCGGTCCTGTGTAGGGATTCAACCAGCCCCGGTACCAGGTTGTGCAATAGGTGTCTTTGTGTAGGGAGTTTCTGGTTGGTGTAGATGCGGTCTTTGTGGCTATTTTAGAACCTATTTTAGTGGGGATTGGGATGTTCACTGGGGGTACGGGCTTTTGACCCGTGGCCATGTGTAGGGAACCTTGTTGGTTGGTTTCCAAAAAAAACCAAAAGGCCCTCTTAGGATTGGGATTCCCAGCCCCGGTGGGTGTCAAGGGGAAAGTAAACGGACACCAACCAGGTTTGGGTGTTGAGACCTCCCCCAAGGTAATCAAGTAGTGGCGGGGTTTTGGTATCACGGAAAGGAGAAGTTTCCACAACCATGGTTGGATTGGGGATTGTTTGAGGATTTTGGGAATGGGAAATACGTTTGACGCCACGAGCCAAGACTCCCCGGTCGGATTAGCGGAAGGAACAAACCACGCGGTGTACCAAAAGGAGATTGTTCTAAGAATGGTTGCGTTTTGGGTTTCGTCTTCTTCCTGCCACTCGCATTTACAGTGGGGGAAAGCAACTGTCACAGTCACAACCTCCCTTTTGGTTGTGCAAACCCTCATAAAGGCAAACATGCTAGCTAATTTTCGCCTAGGTATTCGCGTCAAGCGATGATTTTCATGCGGACTGAAACAACCGGCCCATGCATGACGTGTTTTTTCTCCGAGGCGCCGTGGTACTTGAACCAGGACAAGCCCTCCTTGAAGCACCACCAAGCTTGGAATGCCAAAGACGTCGGCACCAGGGATTGGTACATTCGAGGCAGGGGAGAAAGAGCATGTTCACGGTTTTGGCTTCTCTCCGGGAACCAAAACGACCTTGGGAGGAAACGTGGACACACATGTCATCTATATTCCAAAGTGAAGACACATGCCTTCTGCGCATTCCCGTCGAACAGTTTTTGCGACACAACGAGAGACAACATGTCTTGGAGGGTTGCTGGGCTTCTTTTGAGGCCCGGGTGCTTCCGGGGGGCCACCGCCTGGGTTGGATCATGGTGTACGGTGCCTCAAAATGGGTTTGTCTCAAGATGTTGGTTTCCAAAAAGGCTTAGGTTTTCCCAAGGCACCCTGCTGGGCTTCGGCCTGGGAATTTGCTTCAGTCCACCCTCAAAGAGGCCAACCAACCCAGATTCCGACCGACCTCGCCTGAATACCCCACCAGCACAGCTCCTTCAAGAGGAAACCAACAGGAGGTTGCTTCAACAGTTTGGTGGCTAGCATGATAGCTGGAAACCACCAGTGGCTTGGTTGTTTCATCACTTTGGTGGTCGAATCCACTTGTTTTTTCTTCCCATTTTCTTTTTTGCAACCGGTCGAATCGCAGGGTTGGGTTCAGGCACCAAGGGGGACGTGAAGACCAAGTTCATCAAGGGCGCCTGTGAGAACTGCGGTGCCACCACACATTCCAAGAAGGACGCAGTTCGGGTGACGGGGGGCATGTAAACCCTCCAGACGGCTGTGGGTCAAAACCAATGGGATCTCATTTTGGTTGGTAGGTGAATTCACCACCCATTTTAGAACCTATTTTAGTGGGGATTGGGATGTTCACTGGGATACGGGATTTTGACCCATGGCTCCAGATGTTTTTCGGATTTGTGCGTCCGTTGGGAAGGTTTGCTCGCCTGACCAATGTCTAATGTCTCTCCCTGACGAAAACTTCGACAAACGAAGTTGAAGCTTCCGAACCTAAAGCCTAAAAGCGTCAACCCGGAACCGAGACACAAACGCACAAGACTTCAAAGTCCCACATCACCCCCCACCCTAAACCTAATCCCACACTCTAGTACCCCAAAGCCTACAGCGAAGATGTGAATGCCTAAGCCTCAAACCCTGAACTCAAACACTAAACCCAAACCCAAAACCCAGATCCTAAACCCAAAGCATTTTGAGAATACAGATTGAACGGATTTTGGGGGTCCCCCATGTTAACAAAACCCGAACCCGATACTTGTTTGGGCTTTTGGGTGGTGTTCCCTGCCTGTGAGACCTGGACACCCCAGGATTCAGCTGGTTAAGATGTTCAGCACACGTCGTAGGTAGGTTGTAGCCGCGGTTCTACAGTTGGGTGAAAAAGATGGCACAATCCCCCTCGATCGTGTTCAGTCATCTCTCATTTTCGCCAAAATAAAGGACCCCAGTTCCCATGGTAAATCTCCGACTGCGTGGGAGGATTGCGTGGAGCGGCCGCGAGCAGTGACCGCGAAGCAGAATGGCAAGAACCTCATGCCGGATGAGTACATCATGGACAGGGGCCAAGCTTTGCCCGAAGCAAGTGTTGGAGCCCAGGTGACAAAGCGCCATCCTGGGGTGGGTGGGGGGTGGGTGGGTTTTAGAGGCCTTTGCATGGAAGTTTCTTTCCAGGTCAAGAGAGCAATTCGACTTGGCAAGGCGGTGCAAAGACTGGCCCTGATTCTTTTCGGGGTATCAGAGTCTCCGCTCTTCCATTTATGTATGTGCAGTGGATGCCCTGAATCGGGATGATTGTTTTTGTTTTGCTTGCCTTTTTTTCCTGAATGGCTTCCGGTCGTGCAGATTTTGTCCCCCCCCCCCCCACAGACCTGATGTGTAGGGAAATCCTTCATATTGCCTTAAAGCGGTCTATGCGCCTGGCCATTTTCCTTTAACATCTGCCGGTGTTTGGGCCATGTATTTCGGCTTCCAGAGGCCAACTTGAGAATGTGAACTAGCGAGACCCCACAAAATTACGGTTCTTTGGGTTTTCCTTTAAACTGACCTGAATACGGTACCCGGTACCCTTGAAAGAAATCGCACACAACCAGGAGCTGAGCTTAGATTACGACGGCAAGAGAGATCGATGGAATGGGTTCCAGCCGGATGACTACAAGCAGGTCATCGAGGAGCCGATTAGACCCAAAGTGTCGAAACGAGTTGAGCACCCAACACTGCTTCCAAAAGGGCCATTGTAGAAGGCGGTTCTTCCGAACCTGTTCAAACAAGAATCGCGGGACCTGGGCAAATAACCCTCTGGAACACACAAGTCTGTGAGTTTTGGGCTCTTGGTTGAATTCCTCACTGCTGTACTCAACTTTTCGGGGTATGTATGGTGAAAGACATGGCGACCGCCCCGAGCAAGTGAGTAGTTGGAGTGGGAGGAGCTCACTTTTTCAAGGGCAACAAGTCCGCGTTTTTTTCCTCCTCCTTTTTCCTTTTTCTGACCGCACTCCTTGTGGTGCGGGATTTGCAACACCTTTTTCTTTTAGAACCATTGTTTGGTGACATTTTCTTGGCTCAATTCAGGAAGCGAGGCTTTAGTTGTTGTAAACCAAAAGGCCACCCAAAGGAACTTTTATCATGTCAAACGGGACGAGTATGAGCATATGAATTCGATTTGAGCCCACCAATTTCAAAAGAGCACCATGGCAATTAGATGGGAAGCCAACTAATTTCATCTAGCCCCTTGATTGGTTTCGGGTTTTGCGGTTAAGGGTTTGTATCCCCCCACAAAAGGGGCCTCAGTGGGTTAGTTTTGGGCACGATGTCTCATGGTGCCTAAAACGCATGGTTGGTCCCTGAAATGGTTCAAGCATCTTATCTAACGGAGCTTTCAAACCCCCCTGAACTGGTTCAAACCCCCAACCACCTCACTTTTTGGCCCACTACTGTGGATGGTTGCGAAATCCTCTTAGGCACCACGAAAGAAGCCATGGACACCATAACGTTTGTTGGTATTTACAAGGGAATCATCAGTAACCTAAGAGGATTTTGTCCATCCACAGTAGGGCCTTCCTTTTCCCTTTTTCCTTGCCAGGACTGGGAGCGGATAGAAGGGGAGCGGCGCCGGGTGAAGGCGGCGGAGATGGAGGAGCGCGCCAAGCTGAAAGAGCCGCTCGGCGATGCATTTTGCGCTCTTTGTTGGGAAGCACTGTCAAAGTTTTTCTCAAGATCATGTTCAAAAGCGGTTGAGCTTCAATTCATCACCCCCTGTACAAACTCCGACCATCACCGCAGTCTCTTTCAGTATGCTTAAAGTCCGCAAACATATCCTCACCGCAGTTTTTGAAGCATGCTTAAAGGCCCTCTCTTTAGGACCTTTTGGGTTTGCCCTGTTCAAGGGACCAACCCTCCCCAGGACAGGCTTGAACACATGTGATGGGTTCTCAAAATTGCTTTTGTATACATATATATATACATATACAGAATGTGTATATATATATATATATATGCAGATATGCATATACATGACTAGTTGTTTTTTGGTGTTTTCGCACCTGGCTAGTTATTCGATGTCACTTTGCCCCCAAAGACTCGCCTCGGCTTCAAACAGCTTTCGACGGATCCAGGCGGCTGAAGGCCCAGAAGCGGCTGCTGAAGAAGAAGCGCAAGCAGCGCCGGCGCCAGCTGCGGCGCCAGGCGGGAGGGGCGCCGGAGCGTGGAGCGTGGAGCGTTGGAGCGTAGCGTTGGCCGCCAAGGGGTTGGCAATGGGCGGGGAGAATTCGAGCCTCATGAGACGGCTCCGATTCTTTTGAGAGAAAGATTGGAAGTCGAATAGGAACTGGCTAACCAACCCGCAAGCCCCCTGGGCGTGGGTTCCCTGCAGTGCCCCACGGATTGCGGGTTCCCCACGGATTGAACAACCAGTAGCTGGGCCATCGAGAGTCTGGGATAGGGGGGGGGGCGGGGGGCACCAAATGTCCAAGCGAAACCAGTTTCTTCGCGAGAACGTGTGTTTTGGGCTGTTTGAAAGGGAGAACCAAGGGACACAACACCCTTCATGGGGCAATGATCGTTGAATCAGGGGCAAACCATTTCGTGCAAGTTGTGATTTTAGATGGCGCAGTTCCCTGTCTTGGCCTGCAAGCTTGACCCCCACGCCTGATGCAATGGGAGGAATGCAGCTCAGGGTGCGCAGAAAAGGAAGCGGACAGCATTTTTACAGTGGATGGCTACAATTCGCCCAATTCTGGCGCCATCCTCTTTACCCACTGCCCGGCCCGGCATACATTGAGACAACTCTCACTCAGGCCGAAGGCAAGGACGAGGACGATACGGACGCGGGCGACTCTGCCAGAGCCCAAGGGGACCCGCCCCTCAAACAGGAGCCAAAATCGGGATTCGGACCCCTCAAATGGACTTCGGATTTCCTTTCATTTCCCTTCAAACCCACCTGACAAGGGCAAGAGCACACGCTCTGCTGGTCTTTTTGACGCTGGATGTCCAGATGTCTGGGTGATTTGCAAAGTTGTGCCTTTTGCACCAAGACGAAGCATTTTGGATGGCTCATTTTCAGGCACTTGTTTTTTGCATATGCTTTGTTTGATGGTGAGGGGCGAGGTGGTGATTTAGCTCGTCTTTGATTGCCTTATGGTGAACGGGGGGGCTCAAAATGTAAAACGACCCCATGGGTATCCCAAAAACATCCATCGACTCCAGCGTCCGTTGCTTCGAGCTGAGGACACCGGGGACTCCGACACGGATACAGACACCGACAGCGATAGCGAGGCCTCTGATGACGAGGCTCCGGGAAGACTTCCGTCAAAGATGAGACAGACATACCCACCATGCACCCCGAAAATCCCCCCAACAAAAACCCTCCGGCAGGTCGTTGGATCAGACCCCCAATTTCAGGACCTGGGAGAGAAGCTGAAGGATTTCGACAAATCCACTTCCACCGTGGCGGCGAAGGATGACAAGCTTCGCACCACCACCAGGACGCGAGTTTCTTTTTGTTAGGTTCGGGTTTTGAAGGGAAGGTTCGCCTATTCAAAATCCCTTGGTTCTCAAACGAGACATTTCTTTGTTGTGACATAGACAGATAGTGGTTTGAACAATCATGGTATTTCTTGGCCGAGCCCGGCCCAACCTCCAGTCTGCCGAAAGGCGACTGATGCGTCCTAATCCGATGTTGTCTCTCCGGGGTTGAAGGAGGGACGAGCTCGAATTTTCACCACCACCAGGTGATGGAGCCCGTTTTTTGCAGCTGCGTACTTTGATTTGACTGCTTGTTCGGCCGAATGCCTTAAAGGCCGTTTTCCCAAACCCAACCGGTGGAAAACAAGGCGCCTGAGTTGGCTTGAGCACATGGGCCAATTGCTGGCAGGAACCTTCGCATCAGAGAAGACACCGCCAAGTACCTGCTGAACTTGGATGTGAACTCTGCCTTCTACGACCCAAAGTCAAGGCACGGCACGCGGCAAGAAGCAGACCTGGGTGAACCTGTGGCAACATGCTATACCTTTCCGGCACGTGTCATGCGAGACCTGGGTGCACGTTTGGTGACATTTGGCCTTTCCTAAAGTGATGACAACATTTTTGGTAGCCTGCTGCTAGTTTGGACGCTGCGGATGAAGCAGGTGGAGTAATTTGTTTTGTGCGGGCTTCTTTCTTTGGGCCTTCCTCAGACCAAAGAATGGCAGTACTCGTGACTAATCCGAAGTGCAAGTTGACCTTCCAATGTTTTCATGTTGTATTCCAATCCATCAAGTGGATGTGAATCTGTGACTGATTGGGGGAAGTTGAGCTCGCATCCAGCCTGTGGTGTTTGCCATCATGCGGCCGTCATTGATGAGTATGAACGTGAGGTTCGGTCAGAATAATTAATAGTCTATGGTCGATGTGGGAGGACTTGCCCAATTTGTCCACAAAAATCCAGCAAACAATCATTCTGCAGTCCCGCAAAATGTCCTCTCCCTTCCCCCCCCTCCCGCCCCAAGAAAAGAAAAAGAGGTACACACAAAGCACACCACAAAGCAAACAAAGCCAAACCAAACACGAGAAAGGCGGCAAAAAAACCACGGGCACCGCCTAGGTCGATGCGTCAGGATCCCCTCGCGCACCTCAAGGACCGGACAGGTTTCTGGGCCCAAGTTTTTCTCATTTCCCGCGGCTAAGTAACTTGGGCGACCCTTCAACAAGGAGCATAGGGAACGGGTCAAGAAGGGTTACCTACTGTGGGACTGTGGCTAAGCAACTGGGGCGAGGCGACACAAGAACCAAAGCGGGAAAAATGGCGAAGGGAGAAATGACGAAGGGAACATGACGAAGGGAAGACACCAAAATGAATTGGAAGGATGAAGGGTTGGCTGTGGCTTGGGACCGCTGGGTTGGGGCCCGGGGTGTGTCCTCTTTGTGCTTGGAGGATACCGATTTGGGGGTAGCAATATGATTAGTAGACTACTGTTGGTTTGCGGAGACAGAAGGGGGGTCAAGACAAATGTTAGACGAAAGGGGGGAGGACACTTGGGGAACAACTCATTTTGTCCGGTCATATGGATGCGTCTATTTTTGGAGTCGGGGAGCCAGTGGTTTTGTTTGTTTCTAAAAAGCGAAGCCCAAAGGGAAGCCGAGCATTTGGAGGGTTCCCAAAAACAAACCGACTGGGAGTACACCCAGCTTTACGGGGTCCTGGAAGTGGTTGTTTGGGTGATGCCTTTCTTTCCGACTCCGGCACCCTGCTCTGACAGATCATCTCACTGCCGGAGAACTTGGTATGTCTGGTTTCAACTATTTGTTGAGGCAATTTTAGTGGCCAGAAGAAACAAGTCAGGACTTTTTTGGGCCAATCCACTCAGGAAGCGAGTGATGTATGGGGTTGTCTCTGCGTGAGACAAAACGAGCTCGCCTCAATGAACAGCATATAGTCGTGATTTCCTACCCCGACCTTTTTTTTAACCACGTGAATACGCAGTCGAGCAATAACCGACACCTGGGTAGCCTGGGCAGATCAAGGTTCAGTCGCGGTTCGGGCACAGGGCCCAGGAAATGCCGCAAGGAGCGACCGGTTTGATTCTCTGCACGTGGCTGGACTCCTTGGCTCGGGGTCCTTTGGGTTGGACAACATTTTGGGTATGGGCCAAAATTAAACCAGGAGTTGGACCGCAGGTTGTAGTCCTTCCATTTAACAGGGTTCCATGTATGGTACCTATTTTTGGCCCACAGCCATTTGTCGCAGACAACTCACTTGTGCCTCCCCTCTTGGGGTGGTTCCAACAACTTTTCAAGCACTCCAAAGGCTCCCTGCAAGGGCCCTGTCGAGTTGGTCACGTTTTTTTTTTTTTTTTTTACACACATTCCGACAACCAGACAAATTGACGTCCAAACTACCTATGGATTCCTTTTGTGAATACGTCGACCATGCACCTGCCGCCCAAGCCGCTGGCTCCGGACACTGGGCAAACTCGCAGGATGAAGAGAAGGGCACAGCCTTCCGAGGTGACAACTTCTTGAGGCGCGGGTGTCGGTTGGGAAAAGGCCTTCCGTTTTTCTTTTGCTTTGCCAAGCTGAAAAAAGGGAAGCCCGCTCCGGAATGAGTTGTTGAATTCTTTCAAAGTCGGAAGGTAGGAATGCCCATTGGCATATTCATGTGGCTGTTGCACTATTTGACCCACTTGTTGCCCTTTAATCTACCGACTTGGAAACCATTGACCTTGTTCCGCACCCCCCAAGAACGATTTGTAGAGCTTTCTTTGAAGGGTTTCTTAGAAGGGTTTGTTTCGAACCTTTGCCCAAATGTCTCACGTTGCTGGGCTTCCATTTTGCCGCACACACACACACAACCGTCGGCCCCGTGGCAGCATTGAGCTGAGGAAACCCAGAGGTCCCTCGGGCTTTTCCAGGCCATGGTTGGGTTTCCCGTGTGGTTTTGTGAGCTAGTCTTAGGTATTGCAAACACCAAATATGCATTGAAATACCCCACCTTGGAAGCCATATAATACCATGTTTTCACAGTTTGTGGTTTCTACAGTCTCGCTGAGCTCGTTGCAAGTCTACTCAAGGGGGGCAGGGTATGTAAGTCTTCTTTTCAGCCCGGTAGCCCACCGACCGGGGATTCACAACCTTGCTTTTGGACACTAAGCATGGTTACTGTTGGTGCCTAAGAAATTTGGTACAAAGGTGGTGGGGTAAGCCAACTCAAGTAGTAGAATGTGGGATGAAAAGTCGGCTCAGGTTCCAAGTAGCCAAATCAACTTGCCGGTGCTCAGGGAATGAGGAATGGAATGACTTTTACAAACCATGCAACTGATAAGGGAATCCCTGCGTTCCTTCCATGTTCTCCTTCCCCAGCTATGGCAGCTATCGCGTCGAGGGCGTTCCTTTCGAACGCCAGGCAGTCGGGGGACGCCAAGGCCCTCACGGAGCTCATGTGCTTCGCCTGGGACTCCTACAAGCATGGCCCGGTACCCATGGGCGGCCGCGAAGCCGGCGGTTGGGGGCATAGCGGGTTTTTGGGGGCAATGGGGATGGCGGAAACCGTTCGACTGCGGTAAAGGCAACTGGTGCAGATGTTGGTCCATCCACACATGGAACAATCCATGACCCAAAAAGGGATTGGAGGGTACCTCGAAAGGAGATTCCTCGAAAATGGGGGTATTTTGGTTTTGGGTTCCAGTGTATGCAGAGGGGAAAATGGGGGTATATGGGGGCATATTGGTAATGGTGTGTACGGGCTGGTTTGGTTTGAACCAGATTCGGACACCCCTGAAATCCCATTTCGAAGGGCCTACTTCGAGACAAAGCCGTTTGGTCCCCCCTCACTTGTGGTGGGGGGTTGGTATCAACCTCCTGGTAGAAAGAAGCCGACCGCTTTTTGGGGGTAGAGATGGTCCACCTTGCAGGGAATTTTGGGTTCTGGGCATTCCTACGGGGACTAAACCATTGTCCCGGGCTTACGGCCCCTTGTCATGCAGCCGCATTTCCGGGACCCGGTGCCCATCTGAATGGACACAAAAAAGTGGACGCACACGTAGGCAAGCAAAAAGAACGAGGCATGAGGGAGCTGTCACGTCAAGCCATGAACAAGTGATGCCTCCTCTTGGTCAGGAAGCCGTAGTTGGTGGTTTGGGTTGGCGGTTTGATTTGAAGATCTGGCTCTTGTGGAGGGTAAATGGGACACCGCCACCCTCGAACATATTTCTCGCGAAGAGGATTCACCGCGAAGAGGACCGAGATGAACAGGTTGAGGAGTTGAGGGGCTAGCATGAAACGGTTTTGCAAGTCTCGACTTTGGCTCGGAGCTTTAATTTGTGGACTTCAATGCAAGCAGAACCCAGGGCTTGCACTTGGTAAGCAACACGCGGCTTGTGCGGCGCCACTCCAAAACAGGGGCAAGGTTCGCACTGCGCCAATTGTGGGCTTTTTTGAGTAGGTGGGGCTGGGGCCTGTTTTTTTTCACGCCTGGACGGTGCCCTTTGCAAGGGAAAAAACACAAAAGCATTTTTATTTTAAACAAAAAAAATAAAAGGAAAAAAAACACCAGCAACAACAAAAAACCCGAATTTCCCCCCGGGCCGGGTGCGGCGTAAAAAACCGCTTCAGCGGGGTTTAAACGAGACTGCTCCAGGCGAGAAGATCCACGATACCGCGCAGCCCACCCAAGCCTTGAAGATGTTCGAGGCGGGGCGGGTCTTCTTCTTTTTTTTTAGCTGGTTTTTTGGCTTGTTTGTTTTTGTTTTCTGGTTTTTGGGCTTGTTTGGCTTGTTTTTTGGCTTGTTTGTTTTTGTTTTCTGGTTTTTGGGCTTGTTTGGCTTGTTTTTTGGCTTGTTTGTTTTTGTTTTCTGGTTTTTTGGCCTGTTTGGCTTGTTTTGGTTTTCTGGTTTTTTGGCATCTTTTTTTGTTGCGGTTGCAACCAAGGGGGGTCCGCCAACAGGAGATTTAATCTTTGTCGGCGAACATATCGTTTGTGTTCCATGCCTTTTCGCAGCAGTTTGAACAGTGTTGACCCAGGATGAGCAAGTCGGTTGCCACCCCTAGGAATCCAAGATCAACATCTTAGTGAGTCTGGTGCATTTGAGCGCTCAACAGCCTCATTGGCAGTCTCAGAGGGTATTGTTCCTATGTTTTCGTTTTGTGGGGTGCAGACGTACGTGTTCTTTGGAACAGGTTGCACCCATGGAACTCACAGGAGATGCGGATGGAAATCCTGCAGTTCAAAAGCTAGTTCTGAGCATCAAACCATAATTCGCCAGTGAACAAGGCTTGTCACTGGTTTATCCCGGTCAGAATGGAGGTTCTTTCGTCAATCTGAACTGCTGCGTTTTGTGGATTTCGCCCCTCCACAGTAGTCCCTTGAACTAACCGTTTTGCCGCTGGTAGGGATGATCATCAACCGCTGAACAGCTTTGGCCCCCATCAACCGCTTACTGTGTTCAAGGGGTTGTACGCAGATTGAGGGGTGGGCAACCCTCCATCTTTCAATCTTCCAACCCTTCAATGCCAGAACGTTCCCGTTGGTGAACCACCATTTTTCTTATCCGCATTTTTCTTATCCGCATTTTTCTTCAACACCTTTCTGCGAATGTTGTGGCGCCATGGCCCGCACAGGAGTTGTTTGTGCACGGCGCAGGTGTACAAGAATCGCGCCACCGACCTGAAAGAGAAGCAGCAGAAAGAGCTGATGGACAAGTGACCCTGCCAAATTTCGGGCCCGAAGGGGGCTGGTTTTATTAAGAAAAGACTGGGCACTTGATGGCAGTTTTTTTGGGCAGCATGGCCTTTTTGGAGTACCGTTTTTCTTTTTTTGCATCAGGTACGGTGGGGAGGAGCACATGGAAGTCCCCCGCGAGCTCATCTTCTCGCAAAACGAGAATTATGTGGAGCCGCTTGGCCGGGACCTGTGACGTCGGGGGTTGATGGCAAGGGTTCGCAGCTTCAGTTCGCGGCCGACTTGTTTTGCCGCAACCTTGAGCCAAGTGGCATACAGGTCAGCAATGGTGCCCATTTCAAGGGATCTTTCTTTTGGAAAATCACTCACAACTTAGGAAAGCCATCTGGTCGTGAAAAGGACCATCTTTTTCACAAGAGCGGGTTTGGGGAACAAGTCGCTCTGATCGTGCATCATGTGGGCCAACGCTAAGGTATTCCCGAGATGGCCGCGTGTTGAAGGGCTCGGAGCGCGCTTTGACCAAGTCCAAGTACGAGGAAGACGTGCTCATAGGCCACCAGAGCGTGATTGAGTCATAGAAACCAGCCGTTCAGGCAGCGGAATCGCATGCAACCCATTTTGGAATTCCGGTTTTTTGAGCCACAGCCACATGTCGATGGAGACATCTCCATGGCTCCGGACTGCGACTCTCGCGCATCGGCTCATCGGCAGGCAACCACTCGTCGACTTGGGGATCTTGGTTCGACTCCGCGACCGGCAGGCGAGTGGCAGAGAAGCAGTTTGGGCCTTTTTTCGGCCACTTAGGAAGGCACTTGTAATTGGACGTTACCGGGACACTGGCCTTGCCCAAGTGCGGATATGAAGAAGCCCTTTGAACCTTTGAGTCGCAGAACTCCGGCTGAGTAACGTAGCGGTCAGACCGGTCTGGGGCGATGTCGGGGGCCCCAACTCCTGTTTTCCCACGAGCAAGACCCAATTTTCAAGTAGAAAGTGACTAGATCCACACTTTCCGGGACGCAAAAGGAGTAGCCCTGCTTGCAACCCGGCCTGGACATTCCAAGTAAGCGCCCCAGAAAGGGACCCTCCAACCATTTTTCGTGCAAGAAGTTTTCCTGCGTGAAGCCCAATCCTTCGGGTGTCTTCCGTGGGGATGCGACGGTTTGCTTTTTTTGTTGTGTCACCTTTTGAGGGTACTCTCTTGTCATGTTTGGGTTTGTGAGAACCACACGGAAACCAAAGCCCTTTCGGCTCTCGCATTTTCAGACACACCCGTAATGCAAGCGAAGGGGACTTGGACACGCTGGTAGTTGAGCGCAATGTGCGGAGGTGTTGCCCGCCTCGCTATTCTTGCGCCTTTTGCGCGTGTTCTTGGGCCTTTTCTTCGGCACTGGCTCCGTGCTTTTTGTGCGGCAGAAGCGCCTTTCTCGCGGCTTCTGGCGCGTTTTTCCTCTGCAGGTGGGGCTTCAAGTGCTGCCACCAGTGCATGAAGAACGCCTACTGCGTGCCCGTGACTCCCGGAGGTGCGCTCGAGGCTGGCGCGCCCGCCGAGGCCGGAGGGACGGAGGGACGGAGGGACGGGTTTGACGCGCTTTTTGCGAGCGGCGGCCAGACTGTCTGGCCCTAAAAGTCTGGGCCAGATGGATAGAATCTCCCCCCCCACCCGAAGAAAAAAAAGCAAAACCAACAAGCCAACAAAACTCCCCCGCCCCCCCCCCCCCCAAAAAAAAAAAAGAAAACACAAAAAAACACAAAAGAAAGGAAGGAAAGCAGTTGGTAGGTGGTTCGGTTCCTACTAGGTTTCATGGAGACGGTCAGGGCGATATAGATCTGTGTCAATGTATGACACTTGGTAACCGAAACTCAACGGGCCCTGGGCTTCCCCAAGAAAGCCACCCGGGATTTGTTTCGGGGTTCCTCGATGTTGGTTTCCCTTCAAGTGTGCCAAAGTGGCACCAAGAGCTGCAGCCACTAAGAAGCTGGATCTGGAGGTATGGGTTTGTCTCCAAGGGAAGATTTGAGTAGAACTTGTCTCCCAAAGTGATCCTGATATCTCTAAAATTGGATACCCGTCTAATGAACCAATGGTTTCTGAGTAGGTTCCTTATAGAGTCTCTTGCATCCCGGATCTGTGTCCCAAGGTGCGTGTAAGAGGCCCCTCAACACGAACATGTGAACAACTGTGAGCGTCCCGCAGTCAAACAACTCCACAAAGCGACATGAGCGTCAAAGGGATTCGTCGATGATGTCCGTGGGTTTCTCCTGAGCAAACTGGATATGAAGATCAGCTATGCCAAAGCCAAGCGCCAGGTTGAGGATGTGGACGAAGAAGGAGCGTTGCGTTGCGCTTTTTCCCCATTTCTTGTTTTGAGGGTAAACCACACAGAAGCTACTCAGTTGCTTTTCCTAGCTTTAGAGCATTGAAATTGGGGAACAAGGGTAACTCTGTGCTTGAGAGTCATTTTTTAAAAGGTTTTGGTCGCTACATGTGTTTACTGGCAATGTTTGTTTGTTTGTTGGTTTTCTTTTGGAGAGGTGCCGCATCTGGGTATCGGGAAACCAGATGAAGACCACTCAGTTTGGGGTCCCCCCACGACAAGGGCTCTCTTCAATAACCCGAGCCACAATCCAAGTGCGGGTAAGTGAAGGCTAGTACTGGACAGTCCTATCTAAACATATAGGTAGCCAATTTGTATTCCTTACCATGGATTTTGGGCAGACCCCTTACACCTGTCTCCAAAGATTTATTCTGGGGCAGGGACGAGCCGTGACACTTAACTTCTTCCCGCCGAGTCGCTCCAAAGCCACCCCTTCCAGCTTTGGGCATTCCGACTTTGGCCATGCCGCAGTTCCAGAAGGGGAAGCTTTGAATTCCAGATACCTGCAAGTGCTCAGTCGAAGTATACAGGGGACAGAAGCTTTGCCGCGGCACCCAGCGGCTTCTTTTCTGGATGGCTCAAACGCACCTTGTGACAAGATGAGTGCCCCCGTGAAATGGTTCCCAGGCAAACCCAACAAGGAAGCAGTAGGAAGAGGCAAGCCAGGCTTTCTTTCTTGGAGGTTCTCATTAGGGAACCGAGAATCAACAGAGGTTTTGGGAATGAATCTGGGGATCCTCTTGAAGGAAACCACAGGGGATGGTTTATGGGGGGGCAATTCCTCATTTTAGCTGAGCGCCAGCAAGTTTTCTGACCTGCGTTTCCACTGTTGGTGGTTTTATAGTCGTTCCAGACCCCAGTTGAAAGCCAGGCACCCTTTTCAGCAATGGACACCGAAACCTATTTTGGAATTCCAATTCCTCAGACTTGACACATACCCCATGTTGCGCGCCCAAGGTCTATTCAAAAAACGGGCGGATCCCTACTCAGAGTCCTTCATTTGTGGGGGAGACCACCTAAACACCCGCCACGATCATCTGGCATAAGGAGCTCGCAGCTTGCTTTTGTTGAGGAGAGGAGCCTGCTGCCTCCAGCAGTGCAGCCCCGGCAGCGGTAGCAGATGCTCCGGTCACGAAGCTGGCGGACATGAGGCCGGGGAGACCATCTGCGTGGGCCAAGGGTTCCATTCGAAATGGGAAACGCACACCACACCCTGGGCATGCAATTGATTGGGGTCCCATTGCTGGAAAGGATTTTATGTCCAGGCACCATTTTTTGGGGGATCCCTCTTAACAAGTCATAGCCACCCCAATATTATGTTGCTAGTTTTGTAGTTTTTGCAATTGGAAACCCGGTGTAGCTGCCGGATGTTCTGAAACACCAATGGGCCCTTGTTTGGACCCAGGTGCTGCCTTTTCGGTATGTGCCGCATTTTCAAGGCCCTCTATCTTTTGGCACAATCCCATTTTGGCAACGTCACCGCCTTTCTGGCGAAGAAATCGCGGCAGATGGTTTTCGGGGTTCCCGTGCTTTGTATTGTTTTTTCCAGGGCCCTGATAGCCTTGAAAGGAAACACCAAGAGGCTGTTTAAACAATAGAGCTTTGAACATGTGTCAACAGGGGATTGGGGGTCGAGACCATTTCGGCCGCGAACAGTTTATTCTGGCCTGCTTCGGCCGCGAATATCTCCCCCGGCCTGTTTCGGCCGCGAACATCTCCCCCGGCCTGTTTCGGCCGCGAACACTTTGGAACGCTGAAAATGCAAAGTTCGAAACCATCCAAGCGATCGAACAAATCGAAAAGATCGAAACGTTCTTCGAAACGTTCCAAACGTGCAACAAAAATCGAAAATTTCGGCGAGTTCCAAACTTTTGAAACGTTCCAAGCGTTCGAAAAGTTCGAAACGAACAGTTCGAGATGTTCGACAAGTTCGAAACGTTTGAAAAGTTCGAAACGCTCGAACCGCGCTCGAAAAGTTCAAAAAGAGCAAAGCTTTTGAAATGTTTGAAGAGTTCGAGCAGTTCCAAATGTTCGAAACGTTCCAAGCCTTCGAAAAGTTTGAAGCTTTCCAAACGTTCAAACAGTTCCAAACCACAGTGCTTCCTCGACTATACTTCTTACGACTTTAAAAACCGAAAGGCTATACCTGCAATGTCCCAGCTAGGGAACGTCGACCAAAAGAGAGGCCAAAGGCGGTAAAATGGAAATCTCCAAAAGAGTGGACATGGTGGAAGTTCTTCTTGCCACAGGGGTGCTGCGCATGTAGATTAAATGTTTCAGTAGCCCGCTGATCAGGCGATGTTACAGTGTTTTTTATATGGCAGTTTTATCTGTACGCGGGACTAAAAGCTATGGACGCACTACATGTAGCAGTATGCGTGTTCCTGACCGCGCAGCCCACTGCCCTCCTTGAACGCCACTTTTGGCAAGGTTTGAACACAAATTCAGCGACAACTTTTCAGTCAAGATATCGGCAGTCCGCATGATCCCTGGCTTCAGAAAAAAGCGCATGCTCTGGACAATGACATGTCCGTGGACAACCCGTGGACAAACTGTGGGAAGACAATAAAAAGGCGTGGAGGCCAGAAAAGGGTGTGGAAACGCTATTCAAAGCATGGAGATGGCTGCGCTTCGTGCGCTAGGCTGGTGGTGCGCGCAATCGTTTCCGATTTGTTCCCGATTGACACTGCATTATTGAGGCTCAAGGTATGTTACCGCCTCGGCTGAATGCCTCTATGAAAAACATATTGACGAAACACGGGGCACACAAGGTCCCTCTAAATAGAATGTTAAGCCAATGCGCACAGCAATGCTATCTACTTCAGGCAGCCAAATTGCATTTTTTAGCATTGGCGAGTTTAGCCAATTGGATGAGACATGCTACTACATATCCCCAGGAAAGAAAAACGGCATGCAAGCTTCCGAAGGTATACGCATCATAAAAGCGCAGCGTGTAGCCTCTATCCAACTTATGGTTGAGCTACCTCGACCACACTTTTGACCGCTTTTGGGAGACCAGGGAACACGTAGATGATGACCACTTCGGTAACAGAAGTGTCCTTCTTGAAGTCTTTAGGGCCAGGCTCGGCAAAAAACGGTCTAGTTACATCAAAAGCTCTTTTTTAATGGCCATTGAAAGGCTAGGGAAGCCCTCAAAAATTCGCAACCTTCCAAACGTTCAAAAGTTGGAAGCGTTCGAAACGTTCGAAAAAGTTCGAAACCTTCGAAACGTTCGAAACGTTCGAAAAGGTTCCAAGCGTTCGAAACGTTCCCAGCGACCAAAGCATGTCACAGAAACTTGTTGGCTAGGGGCGGTGTTAGCAGCCGAAACGGTCGCAGAGGCATCGTTAGCAGCCGAAACGGTCGCAGCCCCGTGAGGCTTTGCAGTATCTGCCTTGGGTTTGACGGCAAACTCATTGGCTTGCAGCGGAGTTGGCTCTGAGTGCTTCCGCTTAGACGGTCATCTTTGAAAAGGGGTTTGAGACCCGAGAGAATGTTGCCCGTGGGGCGGACTGGGGAAATCCTGGTTTTTGTTCCCAGCGACAGGTCCTCTGCTTTTGGCCACATCCTGGAGGCAGTGCGGTCTCGTCTCGCTGGGCAGATGGAGCTCGAACTATGTCCCCGCACTGCGAACACTTGAGGGCGCCCGTTTTGGGGTCGTTTTGAAGGGACACCGAACAGACACCACCCATATTTGGGTCCAGGTGTTTGGAGACAGACACAGAGTCAGATTCCTTCTTTGGTCCGTGACATCATACCCCCCGACTCAACAGTGCATATCTGAAGTAGGGGGTTCCTCATAAACCTTTCCAGATAGAGCCAACACGTCAGTGGAATTCGGGTCCCCTGCTCGAAGAGGTCTCGCACAAAGATGGTTTCGCACTAGCGGGAAATGGGATACTCTCAGTGGCTATATACTGGCTGTATATCCCGTAGAACCTTACCTGGGGCAGTGGACACCTGGACACATATTTTTTGCATACGAATATCCCCTAGATCTTATGATATCATCTCGCTTTGAGAGCATGGGGATGACGATAGATGGTCAGGTTGTAAAGCATTGCTTTCCGGCAACCTTTCTCCTTTTTGAAGCAACCAAACAGCATCAACACTTCCAACCCCTGCTTCTTCTTTGAAACAAAAGAAAGAAACAAACAGAATCAACAAACTTCCGACCTCTGGTTCTTGGAGGTTTGACACAAGAACAGCGACCCCATTAACCCAAGCGCCGCCTTCCGTCTCGTCCGCTCCGCTCGTCAGCTCGAGATCCGGCGATAGGAGGCGGAGGACCTGGACCAGAAGAAGCTGGCGGAGGCGGTGGAGCAGGCCAAGAAGAAGCAGCGCCTCGGATGCGACGGAGCGTCCGATTCGGGGCCGGGGCCGTAAAGAGCTTCTGCTTGGAAGCCAGGAAGGAGCCCGAGAAAAAGAGACGCCCCTTGCCAGAGAGGAAGGACACTGCCATGAGTACAAGGGGACCCCCCACCAAGTTGGTCGTGGGTTTTTGCAGGATAGCTTGGGAAAGTGAAGGGAGGCCAAAAACAGAGCCGAGGGCACCTTCCTTTTGTGCCGTTCCGGACCCGTTCTTGGGTCGGTTTCAGTGAACTCCGAAAAGAGGAGACCTCATGCTTCTTCGCCATGGCGTTTCTTTTTTTGGGATGATGCCCGTTTGGGGTGGTTTCACACTAAAACCGATAGAACCAATAGAAGGGTCCTCTAAGACACCCACAAAGTTTTTTGTTGACCCATGAAGCTGCGTCTTGTCAGTCTGACCGTGGCCTGAGAGTGGGCTGTCTAAAGAGAAGAAGCGTTTAAACATGGTTAAACAGTTGGTTGGGCCCCCCGGTCAATCCTGGATTCATCCAAACCCTAGCGGAGTTTTTCTCCACGAGAAAGCCTGCACCATTTGGTGTGAGTAACAGTCAGCTAGCACATGGCCTTTTATTGAGGCCTGCCAGCCTCCTGAACGAATTTGTAGACCAGCTGGGTGTACCAACTGATTGTTACTCACTTTTTCGTGGTCTGACCCCTATCCCTATCAAACCACACCCACCAGGTTTACACACCCACCAGGTTGATGAATCCGGAGTCGACAAAAGGACACCAACTGTTGTGTGTCCCTGCCACTGATGCCAAAAGGAAACCAAGCAGGGGTGCCCTATTTTGGGCTTGGTTCTCTTGCTTCGACAGGTAGGGAATCGTTTGAGTGGTTTTGGGATGGATTAGGGG